AATATCCTGTTTTGTTGGTTATTTGACGAATCGAAACTAAAGTTAATTCAGATTACATAATCTATGAAAAATTCTCCATAAATTTAACCTTTTTTTCTTAGGTAGATGGCTCGTTTTATTTTTTTTTTTAAGAATACCCAGTTTTTTTAGTTATTTTACCAGGCAGAAAGAAAGTTACTTCAGGTTTGTAATCTCCGAAGATTTCTCGAAAAAGAGATATATAATTATAATATATTCTTTTTCCTATACGGAGAGTTTGATAATTTTTTTGGAAAATTATCTACTCATGTTTCTCCATTATTTGAATGGACAGAGCAAAAGTATTCGAATTCGTTATCCACGAAAACTTCCCTACAAACTTATCCTCATTCCTATAACAAACGAGCACGTTTAATTTTTTTTTTTTTGAAAATTTTGGAAAATGTTTGCCTATTTTTCTCCATTATTTAAGAGGTAGAATAAAAGTAACTTGAAATTTGTAATCTACGAAAAACTCTCTATGAAGTCGTCCTTTGACCTATTGTAACCTGAGTCCATTTTTATTTTTTTTTTCGAAATTTTTTGGATATTTGACGAAGCATACAGAGTGACTCAAAAAATGTGCCCCCACTTTCTTAGAGGGTATGGCATTTGCCAAAATAGTTTTATCTTATTAAAAGTACTATCCCCGCCCACCCACCCCCTATTTTCTCAGAGGATTATGATTTGCCAAAATCAGTCTTATCTTAGCAAATAAGATACTAGCATTTTAGCAAATGACATAACTTTTAAGAAAATAGAAGGCGGTTGGGCGGGGCTAGTCCTTGCTAAGATAAGACTAATTTTGGCAGATGACATTTCCATTGAGAAAACAGAGGGCGGGTGGGGGGGGGCTAGTATTTCCTAAGATAAGACTAACTTTGGAAAATGACATATCCTCTCACAAAATAGGGGGCGGGTGGGCGTCTCTAGTACTTGCTAAGGTAAGACTGATTTTGCCTCTATTAATCTTGTGAAAACATGTTAAATTTAAAAGGCGTCAAATTGCAAATTTCCTTAATAACGAGTTAAATTCCTAAATCTGATTGGGTGTTTATTTTTTATGTTTCATTCTACTTCAGGAGCGGGGGAAGTTCTGTTGAAACAACTAGTATTTTGAAAGAATCTTGAGAACCCCTTATGCCAGCTTTTTGAAGTAGTTTCAAAGAATCTTTGGGATCCCTTGTGCCTTGTTTTTGTAAGAATCTCCTGGACTTCTTGTGTTTTGTTTTTAAAGAAGTTTGATACAATCTCGAGGGCCCCTTGTATCTGGTTTTTGAAGTAGTTTGAAAGAATGTCGGGGACCCTTTATGCCTAGTTTTTGAAGTAGTATAAAAGAATCTCGAGGACGCTTTGTGCCTGGTTTTTGAAGTAGTTTGAAAGAATCTTGAGGAACCTTGTGCCTGGTTTTTGAAGTGGTTTGAAAGAATCTTGAGGATGCTTTGTGTCTGGTTTTTGAAATTGTTTGAAAAAATCTCGGAAACCCCTTGCGGTTGGTTTTTGAAGAAGTTTGAAAGAATCTGGGGACTTTCGGTCCAATTTTTTTGGAAATTTGCCCATTTTTCTCCATTGTTTAAATGGACAGAGCAAAAGTAAATTCGAATTCATAATCCACGAAAACTTCCCCATAAACTTATCCTTATTCCCATAAGAAAAGCGCTCGTTTAATTTTTCTTTTTTGAAAATTTTGGAAAACGTTTGCCTATTTTTCTCGATTATTTTAAGAGGTACAACAAAGGTAACTTGTAATTCGTGATCTGAATCCATTTTAATACACATTTTTTCGAAAATTTTTGGAAAATATTGTTTTGTTGGTTATTTGACGAACCGGAACTAAAGTTTACTTCAGATTCGTAATCTATGAAAAATTATCCATAAATTTAACCTTTTTCTCTTACGAAGATGGCCCGTTTTAATTTTTTTTAAGAATATTTTTGAAATTTCTGGAAAATATCCAGTTTTTTTAGTTATTTGACCAAGCAGAATGAAAGTTACTTCAGATTCGTAATCTCAGAAGATTTCTCGATAAACATACCTACAAAGACATTTTGTTTCAGTTTTTTTTTAATTTTTTTGGAAAATTAATTGCCCATTTTTCTTCATTATTTGAAGAGGCAGAGCAAAAATATATAAATCCAGTTCGTAATCTACGAAAATTTACATATAAACATATCTCGGAGGCCCTTTTTGTCTGGTTTTTGAAAAAGTTTAAATTAATCTGGGGGACCCCTTTTGTTGGGTGTTTGAAGATGTTTGAAAGAATTTCGGGGATTCCTTGTGTTTGGTTTTTGAAGTAGTTTAAAAGAATATCGGGGATTCTTTTTGTGGTTTTCGAAGAAGTTTAAAAGATTCTCGGGGACCCCCTTTATCTGGTTTTTGAAGAAGTTTGAAAGAATCTCTGGGATTCCTTTTGTTGGGTTTTTGAAGAAGTTTAAAAGAATCTCGGGGACCCTTTTTGTCTGGTTTTTGAAGAAGTTTAAAAGAATCTCGGGTTCCCCTTTTGTGTAGTTTTTGAAGAAGTTTGAAAGAATCTCGGGGATTCCTTGTGATTGACTTTTGAACTAGTTTAAAAGAATCTCGGAGATTGCGTTTGTCTGATTTTTGAAGACGTTTGAAAGAATCTCGGGTATTCTTTTGTTGGATTTTTAAAGACGTTTGAAAGAAAGAATCTCGGGGACCCTTTTTGTCTGGTTTTGGAAAAAGTTTGAAAGAATCTCGGAGACAATTTTTGTCTGGTTTTTGAAGAAGTTTAAAAGACTCTCGGGGTCCCTTTTTGTGTAGTTTTTGAAAAAGTTTAAAAGAATCTCGTGGACCCTTTTTGTCTGCTTTTCGAAGAAGCTTACAAGAATCTCGGGGATTCCTTTTGTTTGGTTTTTGAAGAAGTTTAAAAGAATCTGGGGGACCTTTTTTGTCCGGTTTTTGAAGACGTTTGAAAGAATCTCGGGGATTCCTTTTGTTGGGTTTTTGAAGAAATTTAAAAGAATCTCGGGTTCCTCTTTTGTTTTGTTTTTGAAGTAGTTTAAAAGAATCTCTTGGACCCTTTCGTGTGGTTTTTGACGAAGTTTGAAAAAATCTCGAGAATTCCTTTTGTCTGGTTTTTGAACAAGTTTGAAAGAATCTCGAAGATTCCTCTTGTTTGGTTTTTCAAGAAGTACAAAAGCTCGTTGAGATTCGTAATCTACGAAGGTTTCTCTATAAACACATCCTCTTTCCCATGCGAAGACAGTTTGTTTCAATTTTTTTTTAATTTGTTTAGAAAATTAATTGCCCACCTTTCTCCATTATTTAATGGGGCGAAGCAAAAGTAAACTGAAATCCATAATCCACGAAAACTTCCCTATACACTTATCTTTATTCCCATAGGAAGAACTCGTTTCATTTTTATTTTTATTTTTTTTTTTTAATATTTTGGAAAACGTTTGCCTATTTTTCTCTATTATTTTAAGAGGTAGAACAAAGGTTATTTTAAATTTGTAATCTGCGAAAAGCTCTCTAGGAAGTTGTCCTTTAACCCATTGTAACCTGAGTCCATTTTTATATATTTTTTTTTTCGAAAATGTTTGGAAAAATTAGTGTTATCTTAGCAAGGACTAGCCCCGCCCACCCGCCCTTTATCTACTTAGTATGGCATCTGCCAAAATCAGTTTTATCTTAATAAATGTACTAGCCCCGCCCACCCACCCCCTGTTTTCTTAAAAGATATGTCATGTGCCAAATATATATTTTTTTGAAAATTTTTCGAAAATATCCTGTTTTGTTGGTTATTTGACGAACCGAAACTAAAGTTAATTCAGATTACATAATCTATGAAGAATTCTCCATAAATTCAAACATTTCCTCTCACGAAAATGGCCTGTTTTAATTTTTTTAATTTTTTTTTTTTTTAAGAATATCCAGTTTTTTTAGTTATTTGACCAAGCAGAACGAAAGTTACTTCAGATTTGTAATCTTCGAAGATTTCTCGATAAACATATCCTTTTTCCTACACGGAGACAGTTTGTTTTGGTTTTTTTGGAAAATTATTTGCCGATTTTTCTTCACTATTTGAAGGCGCAGAGCAAAAGTAAATTAAATTCGTAATCTAGGAAAATTTTCTTACAAACTTATCTCGGAAACCCTCTTTGTCTGGTTTTTGAAGTAATATGAAAGAATCTCGGGGATCCCTTGCATTTGTTTTGTTCTTGAAGTAATTTAAAAGAATCTCGGGTACCGCTTGTGTTTTTGAAGTGGTTTAAAAGAATCTCGAGAATCCCTTTTGTCCGGTTTTTGAAGAAGTTTGAAAGAATCTCGGGGATTCCTTGTGTTTGGTTTTGAAGAAGTTTAAAAGAATCTTTTGGATCTCTGTCTTCTGTTTTTGAAGTAGCTTAAAAAAATCTCGGAGACCTCTTGTGTTTTGTTTTTGAAGTAAATTATAAGAATCTCGTGACCCTTTTTGTCTGGTTTTGAAGTAGTTTAAAAGGATCTCGGGGACCCCTTTTGTCTGGTTATTGAAGAAGTTTGAAAGAATCTCGGAGATTCCTTGTGTTTGATTTTTGAAGTAGTTTAAAAGAATCTCGGGGACCCCTTTAGTCTGGTTTTTGAAGAAGTTTGAAAGAATCTAGGAGATTCCTTGTGTTTGGTTTTTGAAGTAGTTTAAAAGAATCTCGGGGACCCCTGTGTTTTGTTATTGAAGAAGCTTGAAAGTATCTCGGGAACCCCTTTTAACTGCTTTTTGAAGTAGTTTGAAAGAATCTCGTTGACTCCTTGTACCTTATTTTTTACGTAGTTTGAAATAATCTACAAGAGAAAAAAATAAGATATGAGAGCCAGGTTTACTGCAACCACAGCAACCGTAACCACAACCCAACACTGACAGCCTACAATCCAGACGTCCCTCCTTTCAAACCCATCAAAATCTGACGTATATCCACATTTGTAGATATACTCCCACCTCACAGCGTAGTCCCTCGCGCTCCCAATCCCAATCCCGCTTAATTGTCAAAATGTGCGAAAACTACGAAACCCACAGCCGCGTCAAAGAAAAGGAGGCCCAATCCGAGGTCTACAAAAACCGCGTCATCTACTCCCTCCCCGTCCGCGCCGGCTACTGGTCCAACGAGCTCGCAATCCGCGAACAACTCGAAGCCTCCTACAACTACAAAAAAGACCACTGCCAACTCCTCATCCAGAAGACCGGCAAAATGTTCCGCAACCTCCTCCGCCCCACCTTGCTCAGCCCAGAAAGCACCAACATCGGCTTCAACAAGAGCTACCAAATCCGGTCGTACGGGCTCTCCCAAACCAACGCCTGTGGAACCCAAACCCTGCAACCCTTGTACCTGTCCGCCGTCATCACCGAGAGGGAAATCGAGCACACCCAGCACCTCATCCACGGCTGTGTGCTGACGGCCTCCCCCAGCGGGACCCCGTGCGTGCGCAACACCTTCGTCTTCGTGAGGTGCGACTTCCAGAAGGATACAGGGATGATGAACTACGGGGATGACGTGTATATACAGATTGTGGAGAGTGGCGGGGAGCCGCTGTATGTGCAATGTGAGAATAGTACCATGGATACGTTCGGGCAGCATTTGGGCTTGAGGTTGAGTCAGAGTCCGGATATTTACTGCAGGTTCAAAATTTTTCATTGGAAGCCGGAGTTGAGGGCGGAGACTAGAGGGACTTTTGTGCTTAATGACGCGTTTATCATTATACAGCATACTGCGTCGGGGCACAATTTGGCCACGGAGTTCCATAATTGGATGCCGACGTTTTTTGGGTCGGAGTGCGTGATTTCGTGTCATACGTTTCGGGATACGCATAAAATGGAGACGAGTGAGAATTTGTGGAGGATCTCGGGGAGGGAAAGGAGCGACTTGAGGCAGCTGCAGATTGCCGGACAGAAAGTCGATACGGATAAGTCTTGTGAAAAATAAACCCTTCATACTTTGTTTTGTTTTTTTTTTTTTTTAATCAGATTCCACATTTGTTCCTAAGTTAAATTCTCACTCACACCCTGTATTTTTATTAGTACCGCATCTTACTCTGTTGTTCTTCTAATGTGTCTTTTAAAAAAGTAACTTATAATTAACTTTAAATTTCGAAAATAGAAAAATTCAAATATAGAAGAACTGAAAACTCGAGAAATCGAAAAACTTAAAATTTTAAAAATTGAAAATTTAAAATATCGAAAAGTTGAAAGATTGTGAAAACCGCAAGTTAAAAAATTAGAAATTGGAAATCCAAAAAGTAAAAAGTCGAGAAATCGAAAAATCCAGAACGTGAAAAATCCAAAAGTCGAAATACTAAAAAATCCCAAAATTGAAAAATTGAAGAATCGAAAAACTGAGAAAACTCACAAAATTGAACGAAAAATCAAAAAATTGAAAAATCTGGAGACTGAAAAATCGAAAAATCGAGGAACTGAAAAACTGAAAAATCGAAACCTTCGCAAGTCGAAAACGGGAAAACCAAAAAATAAATTAATTGAGAAATCGGAAAACTGAAAATTCTGAAACGTCAAAACTTTGAAAACTAGAGAAATCGAAAAACTTAAAATTTTAAAAATTGAAAATTTAAAATATCGAAAAGTTGAAAGATTGTGAAAACCGAAAGTTCAAAAAACGAAAAATTGGAAATCCAAAAAGTAAAAAGTCGAGAAATCGAAAAATCCAGAACGCGAAAAATCCAAAAGTCGAAATACTAAAAAATCCCAAAATTGAAAAATTGAAGAATCGAAAAACTGAGAAAACTCACAAAATTGAACGAAAAATCAAAAATTGAAAAATCTGGAGACTGAAAAATCGAAAAATTGAGGAACTGAAAAACTAAAAAATCGAAACCTTCGCAAGTCGAAAACGGGAAAACCAAAAAATAAATTAATTGAGAAATCGGAAAACTGAAAATTCAGAAACGTCAAAACTTTGAAAACTCGAGAAATCGAAAAACTTAAAATTTTAAAAATTGAAAATTGAAAATATCGAAAAGTTGAAAGATTGTGAAAACCGAAAGTTCAAAAAACGAAAAATTGGAAATCCAAAAAGTAAAAAGTCGAGAAATCGAAAAATCCAGAACGTGAAAAATCCAAAAGTCGAAATACTAAAAAATCCCAAAATTGAAAAATTGAAGAATCGAAAAACTGAGAAAACTCACAAAATTGAACGAAAAATCGAAAAATTGAGAACTCTGGAGACTGAAAAATCGAAAAATTGAGGAACTGAAAAACTGAAAAATCGAAACCTTCGCAAGTCGAAAACGGGAAAACCAAAAAATAAATTAATTGAGAAATCGGAAAACTGAAAATTCAGAAACGTCAAAACTTTGAAAACTCGAAAAATCGAAAAACTTAAAATTTTAAAAATTGAAAATTTAAAATATCGAAAAGTTGAAAGATTGTGAAAACCGAAAGTTCAAAAAATGAAAAATTGGAAATACAAAAAGTAAAAAATCGAAAAATCGAAAAATCCAGAACGTGAAAAATCCAAGTCGAAATACTAAAAAATCCCAAAATTGAAAAATTGAAGAATCGAAAAACTGAGAAACCTCACAAAATTGAACGAAAAATTGAAAAATCTGGAGACTGAAAAATCGAAAAATTGAGGAACTGAAAAACTGAAAAATCGAAACCTTCGCAAGTCGAAAACGGGAAAACCAAAAAATAAATTAATTGAGAAATCGGAAAATGAAAATTCAGAAACGTCAAAACTTTGAAAACTCGAGAAATCGAAAAACTTAAAATTTTAAAAATTGAAAATTTAAAATATCGAAAAGTTGAAAGATTGTGAAAACCGAAAGTTCAAAAAATGAAAAATTGGAAATCCAAATAGTAAAAAGTCGAGAAATCGAAAAATCCAGAACGTGAAAAATCCAAAAGTCGAAATACTAAAAAATCCCAAAATTGAAAAATTGAAGAATCGAAAAGCTGAGAAAACTCACAAAATTGAACGAAAAATCGAAAAATTGAAAAATCTGGAGACTGAAAAATCGAAAAATTGGGGAACTGAAAAACTGAAAAATCGAAACCTTCGCAAGTCGAAAACGGGAAAACCAAAAAATAAATTAATTGAGAAATCGGAAAACTGAAAATTCAGAAACGTCAAAACTTTGGAAACTCGAGAAATCGAAAAACTTAAAATTTTAAAAATTGAAAATTTAAAATATCGAAAAGTTGAAAGATTGTGAAAACCGAAAGTTCAAAAAACGAAAAATTGGAAATCCAAAAAGTAAAAAGTCGAGAAATCGAAAAATCCAGAACGTGAAAAATCCAAAAGTCGAAATACTAAAAAATCCCAAAATTGAAAAATTGAAGAATCGAAAAACTGAGAAAACTCACAAAATTGAGCGAATGTTCGAAAAATTGAAAAATCTGGAGTCTGAAAAATCGAAAAATTGGGGAACTGAAAAACTGAAAAATCGAAACCTTCGCAAGTCGAAAACGGGAAAACCAAAAAATAAATTAATTGAGAAATCGGAAAACTGAAAATTCAGAAACGTCAAAACTTTGAAAACTCGAGAAATCGAAAAACTTAAAATTTTAAAAATTGAAAATTTAAAATATCGAAAAGTTGAAAGATTGTGAAAACCGAAAGTTCAAAAAACGAAAAATTGGAAATCCAAAAAGTAAAAAGTCGAGGAATCGAAAAATCCAGAACGTGAAAAATCCAAAAGTCGAAATACTAAAAAATCCCAAAATTGAAAAATTGAAGAATCGAAAAACTGAGAAAACTCACAAAATTGAACGAAAAATCGAAAAATTGAAAAATCTGGAGACTGAAAAATCGAAAAATTGGGGAACTGAAAAACTGAAAAATCGAAACCTTCGCAAGTCGAAAACGGGAAAACCAAAAAATAAATTAATTGAGAAATCGGAAAACTGAAAATTCAGAAACGTCAAAACTTTGGAAACTCGAGAAATCGAAAAACTTAAAATTTTAAAAATTGAAAATTTAAAATATCGAAAAGTTGAAAGATTGTGAAAACTGGAAGTTCAAAAAATGAAAAATTGGAAATCCAAAAAGTAAAAAGTCGAGAAATCGAAAAATCCAGAACGTGAGAAATCCAAGTCGAAATACTAAAAAATCCCAAAATTGAAAAATTGAAGAATCGAAAAACTGAGAAAACTCACAAAATTGAACGAAAAATCGAAAAATTGAAAAATCTGGAGACTGAAAAATCGAAAAATTGAGGAACTGAAAAACTGAAAAATCGAAACCTTCGCAAGTCGAAACCGGGAAAACCAAAAAATAAATTAGTTGAGAAATCGGAAAACTGAAAATTCAGAAACGTCAAAACTTTGAAAACTCGAGAAATCGGAAAACTTAAAATTTTAAAAATTGAAAATTTAAAATATCGAAAAGTTGAAAGATTATGAAAACCCAAAGTTCAAAAAACGAAAAATTGGAAATCCAAAAAGTAAAAAGTCGAGAAATCGAAAAATCCAGAACGTGAAAAATCCAAAAGTCGAAATACTAAAAAATCCCAAAATTGAAAAACTGAAGAATCGAAAAACTGAGAAAACTCACAAAATTGAACGACAAATCGAAAAATTTAAAAATCTGGAGACTGAAAAATCGAAAAATTGAGGAACTGAAAAACTGAAAAATCGAAACCTTCGCAAATCGAAAACGGGAAAACCAAAAAATAAATTAATTGAGAAATCGGAAAACTGAAAATTCAAAAACGTCAAAACTTTGAAAACTCGAGAAATCGAAAAACTTAAAATTTAAAAAATTGAAAATTTAAAATATCGAAAAGTTGAAAGATTGTGAAAACCCAAAGTTCAAAAAATGAAAAATTGGAAATCCAAAAAGTAAAAAGTCGAGAAATCGAAAAATCCAAAAGTCAAAATACTAAAAATCCCAAAATTGAAAAATTGAAGGATCGAAAAACTGAGAAAACTCGCAAAATTGAACGAAAAATCGAAAAATTGCAAAATCTGGAGACTGAAAAATCGAAAAATTGAGGAACTAAAAAACTGAAAAATCGAAACCTTCGCAAGTCGAAACCGGGAAAACCAAAAAATAAATTAATTGAGAAATCGGAAAACTGAAAATTCAGAAACGTCAAAACTTTGAAAACTCGAGAAATCGAAAAACTTAAAATTTTAAAAATTGAAAATTTAAAATATCGCAAAGTTGAAAGATTGTGAAAACCGAAAGTTCAAAAAACGAAAAATTGGAAATCCAAAAAGTAAAAAGTCGAGAAATCGAAAAATCCAGTACGTGAAAAATCCAAAAGTCGAAATATTAAAAAATCCCAAAATTGAAAAATTGAAGAATCGAAAAACTGAGAAAACTCACAAAATTGAACGAAAAATCGAAAAATTGAAAAATCTGGAGACTGAAAAATCGAAAAATTGAGGAACTGAAAAACTGAAAAATCGAAACCTTCGCAAGTCGAAAACGGGAAAACCAAAAAATTAATTAATTGAGAAATCGGAAAACTGAAAATTCAGAAACGTCAAAACTTTGAAAACTCGAGAAATCGAAAAACTTAAAATTTTAAAAATTGAAAATTTAAAATATCGAAAAGTTGAAAGATTGTGAAAACCGAAAGTTCAAAAAACGAAAAATTGGAAATCCAAAAAGTAAAAAGTCGAGAAATCGAAAAATCCAGAACGTGAAAAATCCAAAAGTCGAAATATTAAAAAATCCCAAAATTGAAAAATTGAAGAATCGAAAAACTGAGAAAACTCACAAAATTGAACGAAAAATCGAAAAATTGCAAAATCTGGAGACTGAAAAATCGAAAAATTGAGGAACTGAAAAACTGAAAAATCGAAACCTTCGCAAGTCGAAACGGGGAAAACCAAAAAATAAATTAATTGAGAAATCGGAAAACTGAAAATTCAGAAACGTCAAAACTTTGAAAACTAGAGAAATCGAAAAACTTAAAATTTTAAAAATTGAAAATTTAAAATATCGAAAAGTTGAAAGAT